CTATGCTTAATGGCTTCTTCTTAATTGGCCTCTCGCCACATCTACAGCTACAGTTGGTCATAACCATCTGTAGTCAAGAGAGATCTTGATGACCCAGTGAGCTCATCTGATGTATTTGCTTCTCTTTCAGGATGTGTCCTCATCCTGTGGAATCAGATCCATGCCCACGTTCCAGTTTTACAAGAATGGCCAAAAGGTAAGTCAAAATGCTACGTGTACCTGTCAGCTTGGTGCAGATGTTTGGCGTGTAATAGATTTTTGGACACATTGAGCCTCGTGCTCAAAATTGTTTTCAAGTGACACATAGAAGTGATCTTTAATATAGTGTTTGGCATTCACCTGCCGGAGAAAGGCCTCAAATTTTATGTTGCTTGAAGGATTCCTTCCTAATCTTGCACAGTAATGCTCTAAAGGCACCTCATACATGAGTCACTTAATATTTTCTAATGACAACAAAGCAATGAACCTTTCTGACAAATAGAGGCGAGCTCGCGACATTAAACACCAGCTTGAGGAGGCGCCTGTGATCGAAGCCAGACCTTCACTCAGTGGTCTCAGGATTAAACAAATTGAGTTAAATATCTCTCATAAATAAGGGTTTAGGTTGTGTGAAGCTTATTGTCTCCTATTTTACATTTTATCTAAGATAAATGGAAAATTATGTTTTGTTTTGGGGCTTTTTATGACATTTTTAACCCTCTTTCCTTGTCTTTCAGCTCCACGAGTTCTCCGGAGCTGATCAAGCTACACTACTTAAAAAAGTAGAAGAGCTGAGATAAGAAGTCCAGTCAACACACGGCCATGTTGCAAAAAACAAAAATGCCTCACATTACGATCTGTACATGATTCATGAGCATGAAGTCTATCTTTCACAGGCAATAATATATCTACATATCCTTTAATATTGACATAGCTTTCCTGTCTTAACAAAATATGATGCTGATAACTTTTAACTTTGTTTTTCTGAAAGTTTGACTTTGATCCCAAACTGCTTTGTATGTTTTGTGTTCAACAAAGTACATACAATAAATGGATTACATCAAATCAAGAGACTTGATGGTATTTTATGCATCAATAAAAATGGGAGAGTAGTTTACACATGTGCAATGGGCCATCACAGCAGCAGCTTTGACACGTTGTACAAGTACAGCTTCATTTCACAAAAAGTCCTCAGAGCTGAAAAACACATTTAAGTTCTGTTTAAAAACTGCAACCAAAACGATTGTACACAAACTTCAAGCGTCACAATCTCTTTTCATCTCATGTCAAATGCTTTGACTGAATTTTTACAATAATTGCTTTAAACATAGCACCTCATTTTGCATGTGCATTTGTATACATGCATGTTAGCATGCTAATCAACCCTAAATGGACTGGAGCTGAGACTGATGATTATACTGCATACATGATTTCCACAGCCCTGTCATAGATTGGTGACCTGTCGAGGGAGCACAGCAGCTGGGATTGGCTGAATAACGGCCACCACCAATGAAAACATTTCCAGAGCAGTTACTGTGGAAAACATCTGCACAGAACTTCATGACAATCCAGCTGATCAGCCTTACTCTTACTCATTAAATTTATCTTCCAGTCTTTTTCACCAGCGCACCATGGAGCAGTGTGAAAACCAGCAAACAACCGGATGCCACGTAGCATTTTGCAGCAAAGGTTTGGGCAATTTGCATAGGAAGTTGGGCGACATCTGAGAACTGCAAGTGAGAATTTCTTGTGTTAGACCCTCCTACAGCCACCGAACTCACTTGTTCCCACTTTACACCAACAGGTTGTTGTTACTGTGCTTTCGAACACCAGCATTTATGTCTTTTTTCAAATGCATGAACCGGTTTTTGATTAGGTACTGGTACAGTGCCAATGAAACCAGTGGTTAAAACCGGCTTATCTGACTGACTCTTTTGTTTTGTGTCAGTGAGCCT